TACCTGAACAGGATATTCTCTTTTTGCCCGCGCTACTGAGCTGAGCCCAGCTGGCTACTGGAACGCCTGCAGAGTAAGACACAGAGCCATTTAGGTTGCCAAAGATCCCCGTGTCTGAGCGCAGCCCATCCGCCGTGCCCACTGGGCGCCCCTCGGAGGGCAGCCTGCTGAGGTGCGCCGTGGCCTGGAGGTGGCCCAGCACCCTGAACGGCGGTAGTGATTCGGCTCGATTGCCAGGCCCCGAACTGATCAGAAGCCGATGTCACACGTTCTGAGGTTTTTTCCTGAAAGCCTTGTTTTTGCACTGATTAACAGGCTCCAGCAGCCTGTCTCCTACGTTTCCCAAGAGTGTTGATATATCGAACGCTCCTTGGACATTAAAGATAAGATTTTTGAATCGAGCTGATCGACTCACACTTCCTTTCCCCTCCCGTCCTGACGGGAGGACGCGCCTCACGCCTTCCCGCCCCCGCCCGCTTCCCGCCCTCCGGCGGCCGCTCCGCCCCGCCCCCACCCGTCCCCATGGCAGCGGCGACGCGCGCGGGCCGGGCTCAGGTAGGGCGGCAGGGAGCGGGCTGGGATCCGACCCGGAGCCCCGTTCTCTCTGAGAACCCCCTCCCCGGGGCTCCGCAGCTCCCAGGCCCCATCCTGCCCTCTGGGGTTCCCCTCTTTCCCCGCGCTCCGGCTGCCCGGCCTGTCAGTCGTTCCGTTTTAAATTAGCAATTCCCATTGCTGCGTTGGCAGTGCTGATTCGGATTCCTCCTCCAGGAGTGGGGGAGATAGTTGGGTCCCACGGGTGCTACAAGCCGACGTCATCGGGAATCCTGTGTACATGTTCTGAAGGAATCCTGTCCACCATCCTTGCTTTACGTGTGAAAGAAAACAAAAGATGTGTAACTTCCCCCACGTCCACGGACGTTAAAACTCAAATGTATTTTTTTCTACAGAAGGCAACAACTTTCTGCCCTGGATACACCCACCGCAGAGGGGAATTGCTGCCTGCTGTAGGACGGTACAGAGGGGTGCATCCAGGCACCGCACTGCCGAGTCCGTTCCCGCCCTTCGTGTTTGATGCCTTTGCTTCTCCCCCTCAGGACTGCGGACAGAAGGCGGGCCGTGCTGCTGGCGCGCCCCTGCTGCGCTGAGCGGAGCTGCGGCACCTGGCATGGGAACGCGGCTGGGCGCGGGGCTCCATCCCCCACTGCAGCCTGCTGCGGCGTCTGTGAGTGAGACCGCTCTGCGGGAGCTTTGTGGGGAGGTTGGGAGGGGCACCCTGTGAGCTGTGCTTCTGAATCATAGAATCACTGAATCGCAGGATGGCTTGGGTTGGAAAGGTCCTCGAAGATCATCTAGTCCCAACTCCCCCACCTTGGGCGGGGTTGCTGACATCAAGGACCACCTCAGGCTGCCCAGGGCCTCATCCAGCCTGGCTTTGAATGTCGCCATGGTGCACCCACAGCTCCCTGGGCAGCCTGTGCCAGCGCCTCACTGCCTCACTGTGAAAATCTTCCACTGACATCTAATCTAAATCTCCCTCCTTTCGTTTAAAACCATTCCCTCTTGTCCTATCACTGCCTACCCATGTAAAAAGTCATTTTCCCTCCTGTTTATAATCTCTCTTTACATACTGGGAGGTCACAGTGAGGCCTCCCCACAGCCTTCTCTTTTCCAGACTGAATAAGCCATGCTCCCTCAGCCTGTCTTTGTAGGGGAGGTACTCCAACCCTCTGAGCACCCTCGTGCCCTGTGCCCTTTCCTCAACATCATTTCTGTGCTAAGGGCAGTACTCCAAAGGGGCCGTACAAGGCAGAGTGAAACAACCACCACTTTGCCCTGCTGGCCATTCCTCTTTTAATGCAGCCCAGGACACTATTGGCCTTCCAGGCTGCAAACAGACACTTGCTCACTCATGTTAAGTTTTTCATCTGCCAGGACCCTCGGGTCTTTCTGCACAGGGCTACTTTGAAGGAGTTTTCCTTCCAGTCTGTATGCATATCTGGGATTGCTCCAACTCAGGTGCAGCACTTTGTACTTGGCCTTGATGAACATTGTTAGGTCTACATGGGCCCACCTTTAAAGTCCTTCAAAGTCCCTCTTGATGGCATCCCTTCTTTCTGTTGTATCAGCTGCACCGCTCAGCTTGGTGTCTTCCGAGGTGCTTTGTCCTGCATCTTGCCCAGCATTCAGCACGACGGTTATGCTGAGAGCGGCCAGGAGAGGGCAATGCTGCCAACCAAACCTGCGCTGCGTGTTCTGAAGGTCAGCAATCAGGAGCCATAGAGCCAAGATCCTTTTTGCATCGCTGCCTCCCATTCACTTCATTTTGGAATTGTTTTTCAGGAATTTTAAAAGTCTTTCTGGAAAGTAAGAATTACAATGAATTATTTTTAGTTGAGAGGACCATTTTTTTTTTCTTACTGCAAATAAAACATTCAAAGGGATCTTTTACGATGCCTATAAAGTGAAAGAAAAATATCCCTGCTACAAGAAGCCTGATATTTAAGAGTGAAATGCAAAAAGGGAATTTAATTTTTAAAACTTATTTTCAGCACACACATGTACCCCATTTGTGTTACCACAATAAATAGAAGAATGGCCCAGCATATCTGCCACTCACTCTATCCATCAGAAATGGCCTAGTTTCTAATCTCTGATATTCCTGTTGTCTAAGAAAAGCAGTTCTGTTTCAGAGATAATGTAGAAACAAATCTTTTGATGACAAAATCTCCAATGGACAGCAGGCTGTGAGCAGGTCTGTCCCTGGACCTGCCATGAGTAAGGAGAACACCCGCTGCCATGTTCTAGTGGGTGGAAGCTCCTTGGTAGCGTTATGAAATTGAAAGCGATCACCTGAATTTCAGATTTCAGTCCCAGCTTTTGTTGATCCAAAAAGGAAGGCAGAGGAGGGTGTCCGACCTGAGCATTCACTCCAATCCAAGTGAAATTCTTCACAATTCCCCCAATATGTTCAGCTGACGATCTTTTGCATTTCTCAGGGATGGCACTACCATACTACGAGTGACACATCTAGCTTTAAGTCCTTTGTTTTGTGCCAGGAAATGGGAGAATGGGGAGTAGGGTGAGAGAAATGCTTTCCAATATAACAAAGACTGTTGTTTCTTAAGTCATTTCCACTGAATGCCACCAAGGTCCATCATCAGTGAACTCTTTTTGCAGACTATCAGCTTATTATGATTTAAACAAAACCTTTTACACATTAAATTATTTTTACGCTTTTTGTTTCTCTGCTGTTTTCACAGATTATCTCTTTATCCCATTTTGAAATCCTGAAAATTTGGGTCATGTCTCCAGTACAAAAGTCTGTGGTGGGGGACTGTCTGCCTGTGGCTTATCTCCTCTTCAAAGGACAAGTGTATCTAGAGCTTGTAGGGATTGTGAGCACATAATTCTTAATCTGCTATCAAATTCATAAAACCAATTCCAAACACAATCAGAGAACACCTCGCAGCCATCTGTCACCTCTCCATACAACCAAAGTACATTTGGTTTCACTGTAGTACTTCTGCAGTTTATCTGGATTTGTCTGTGTGTGTGTTTACTTCCAGAAATTGAAGGGGTGGAGGGAAGGGATGACCTCAGTATTCTTACCTGTAAATGTCTTCCATGAACGTATGTTTGCTGTGCAGCATTGAGAAACAGTTAATAAATATAACTTTCTTTGAGATTATTATAAAGTTCACAGAAAAGGCTCAAAATTAGTTTTGTTTTTCAAATGAAGTCATCTGCTGATGGAGAATCCGTTCACTCGGGTTTTCTATGAAGTGTAATTGAAATTGTAAGGCACAACCTGGTTGTCTGCACTGTATAAATGGGGAGAAATATTTCCTGTCATCCGGTTAATGGTGTTATGAGTCATTTTGAGTCTCCAGAGCAAATTGGCTCAAGGTGCTAACCACCAGCATTGCCTCCTTGCAAGATTTTTTGCAAAGATTCACAGTACTGTATTGTTTTGCTTAACAGATGTGACATAGCAATTAAAGAAAACAGAAGTCTCAGTTCCTACTGAATCTGGAAAAGTAAATAGGAAAGGCAAACAGGAATATATTAAAACTCATGTCACGAGTGGCGAGTGACTTGTTTTTCAGTTACTTGTCTTGGTTGTAGAAGGAAATTAGCTGCTGCTCGTTTTTCTGTATTTTACCTACATCTTCCATATCTGACAGAGAAAACACTAGAATGGTAAAATTATGTAATGGCTTTTTCCTCCAGAGCCTTCCATACTTAGGCAGAAAAACAAATTTGTTTGTCCCCTTAGATATGGTTTGCCAGGTATTCAGAGCCCTGAAGGCGTGGTGCGTTGCTGGGCAGTGTTTGCTGTGCTGCCCAGCAGGACTGGCAGACAGCCCCTGGCAGGAGGGGTTCTCCATGCTTTCCTTCTTTTTTCAGGGCACTTCTTGTAAGCTGAGATGAAGTTTGGGAGATTGCCTGAAGATTTTTGATACATTTTTTTCTGGAATGAATGTAGTTACTATCGATTTAGAAACTTTGCTGGGGTTTGTATTTAATTCTAATTTAAAGCTTTTGTCCTTATTTCTTTTTTCATCTTCATTGCCACAGTGGCTAGAGTGGAGCCCAGCACTGTGCAAATGTTATTTGCTGCATTGTGGCCTCATTTGCAGCTTCCTGTCTCTACAGGGTTGCTAAAAATGGTGCCATTTTTTCGGGGCTGTGAAGCAATTGCTGAGAGTTTAAGCTGGTCAGCTCTTACAGTCTTTCCTCTCTCTTTCTAGCTAAGCAAGGCATCTGCTATTTGCTGACTCGCTCCCTGCCCCCACGCCGGACAGGGCTGGCTGTGTTTGGTGGGTTTGAAAACCTCTTTTCCGCAGCAGTTTTCGTGTGAGTATGACTGCTGGAAATAGGTTTCAGATGTTTCCCCAGCGCAGCGCTTGGGCTGCATCTTGTAAGCTGAGGCGTTTCTATAGGAACCGTATGACATCTCTCGCTGCTCCCCCAGCAGCTCTCTCGTGAGCATGCCCAGTGCAAGCCCTGACTTTGGCTCAACTATCTGCGTGCACTAACGGGCTGCACATATGGGATACGAATGCGGTTCCTGATGAGCTCCAACTCTTTGTCTCTGGGAGGAGGAGGAAGAGGCTGTGCCCTGAGCTGGAGGATCTGCCGTACACCCTCTGAGACCCTCACCCCTCAGTGGGCTCTTGGAGAATGCTTGCCTGCTTGGCCAGGGGGAATTTACTGGATATTCTGCAGGAGGGCTTCACAGAGGTAAATGCATGCCCCCAAATCCCACGCGGACTTTTCCAGGGTGAGGCAGTGTGCTTCTCTGCAGCATCTCTTAGGAACTGCCGTGTCTCCCAGTCCTCTGTGGAGAAGAAAAAGAGAAAAATGAGCAAGATTTTCGGGCCAGGGAGCAGGGAGAGCTGTTTACTAACAGAAGGCAACATGGGGCAGCTCCCCGGGGGGACTGCAAACCAGCAGTAGTTCTGAAAAGTTTGTGGCTGGATGGATTACAGCTGATGATTTTATCTTGGAGATTTTATTTTCTCCATAGAGCTTTTACATTTGTACAAGAAAATAATATAAATTGCAGTGAGTTATGGAGAATGGCTTATTTTATGGAATGGATTCCTTTCTTGAGTATCTGAGGTCTCTGAATCTGACGGCTGTTAGAAAGCCTGTAAACACACAGCTTTTGGGAGAAGCTGACAAAGAGCATGGTGTCTTTGTGTTTCCCATCATCTTCTGTAGGTTGAATTTCAGAGAAATTCAGAAATTGACCTGACTCTGGAAAATATGTTTTTTGATGTGCTCTTTATTTTTTTTATTATTGTAGTATTGGGGAGACAGATAAATCGTAAGGAGTGAGAACTACCAAGAAGTTGCAGAGATGGGAATCCTGTGACTGCATGGGGAGGGCAGGTTGCCATTGGCTTTCCTGTTCAGGGAGCACAAGAAGTTGGTTTGGTCAGACTGTGTGCACTCAGTACAGAATGCCGGGGCAGCCGCTGCCTGGCTGCACTCATTGTGCAGACCATGCTGGAGCACCATAACCTGCCAGTAAACTGAGGAGGAAGGAATATCGTGAGGGCTCATGATGAAACCAAACAGTGGCTGCTATGTCTGTTCTCACACGGTGGCAGGGGTGGTCTCTTGGTGTGTTCTATTATTTCATGTTTTGTTTGTGCTTCCTGGTTCTTCACCCCTTCATGGCCCAGACACCACCTTGTCTGTTTGCTCCCGTGCTCCCTCCATTCTTTACAGAAAATGCACATCCCTCCTGGGCTTAACACCACCAGTCATCAAGGGAAAAGCAAACTGAGTATGAAATGTGAGCCTCACAGCTTCATGCCAGCCACAGGTCTCCTCTGATTGCTCTGCTTGACCGTATAAATATTCCATCCCCTCCTCCACAGAATATCTCAGTCTTGCTTTTAGCTAGTAACGTATTGCTTTAGTTTAAGTTGCAGAGGCTTCCTGTTCTCAAGAGCAGCTGTGTTTCCCTGGTGTAAGCTAATCGTAATCCGTGTATTAGTGAGAGCAAAGAACAATTTGATGTTCAGGGCTAGCCCCACTCAGAGCATCTGGTTTTACCCTTAGGCTGCTCAGCTATGGAAAAAAGTCCTTCTCCTCCCCCATAAAAACTGACCTTCAGTCTCTTGTCTGACTTCATTTCACACAATGGACTGAGGTATGGCAGGAATTGCCTTGCTAACCCAGGGCGGCCTGCTGTTCTTTTGATAAGCATCCTTTCGGCCCAGGTGACTCTTGGTGACTGGATACCTTGGAATACAAGGATGTGCTTTCCAAATCTGTGCAGAGGAGGTTAACATACACAAGTGTCATACTTAACCAGTGATTTTCAAGAGGAAAAAAAAAAAAAAAAAAGCATCTTCTGCTGGTTTTGAGAGCAGTGAGAAAAATCGTTTTCTTTGCTTATAAGTTTTTATAGTCTGCTTCTACAAAGGCCTCTCGAATGAAAGCAAAAGAAACCTCAGACTTGAGGGGCGCTGGGTGGCAAATTTCAGAGCTCATTTAATCAAGGTAATAATGTCAGAAAGCTTAGAAATTATACAAAGCCTTAAAATTACATCCTGATGCAATCAGTCTGTCCTTTGAACTCTGTTGTTGCAGACTTTTGGTTCAGTGCTCTAAACAGACAGGACATTAAATGCCTTTTGTACTGAGACCATCCTTATAGAACGAGGGCTATTATCTTTGACCTTGTTAGAGCTGGTGTTAAGGCAGCATCCACAGGCTATAACGGAAAAAACAGAACGAAGATTACAAGAAGCATTATTCTTCCAGACAGTGTCCCTAAATCTAACAGGAAGAATAGATCCATATTCGTCAACTGTGTGTGTAGAAAAGATGACTTCTCTTATAGAAGTTGGGAGTTTAACATGACAGCAAGGATGTTAGGCCCTCTGAAAGCATCTGCCAACTACAAATGACTTTACCAAGAAATATGCGGACACCTTCAAAAAGTGCAATTCCCTAATCTCAAAGGAGGTGAAAATTTAACATGGTACAGAGCCATGTAGATGGCACTGAAGGTAAAGGACAGAGCAGTACGTCAAAGCACCATGATCTACCTATATTTACTGTAAGGCAGACTGGGCTGATGCATGGCTGAAAGAAACACGAGCCCTAAGCAGCAGGTGGTGAATTGCACTGCTTAAATGAGAACAGCAAAGAGATCTAGAACTGGCTGGAGATTTGCAATAGAGCTGCTGCTTTTCTTCCACCTGTTGAAAATATTAGTTAATGGCTCTTAGTTGTAATTATCTGTAAGGGCTCACAGAGCATGAGATAAAGTGCTGACCCTGACGACACCATATGATGGGCTCTGGAGAGAAAGCACGAAGTAGCTCCTGATCTCAGCAGTATGCTTTCCAATAAGCAGGAGGTCTGGGAGCGTTCTTCAGAGTATGTGCTAGTGAAGTGTTATAAAATGAAATCCTGCACTGCAAAGTATGTTTGCTAAAGAACCTGTAATTTGCTAACAGAAATACCTGCATGTTGTTGAACTCCTTCCAACTGCAGGTGGCCCCTAGTATCCAGCTTTCAGATTCTCTTCCACTGTGAGAAGTCTGTTAGGGCTTCCAGAGTCATTTAGACGCAAGCACTCTACAGTGATCTGAATCTGAAGCAGTCTGGGCTCCAAGTTCCTGCAGGTAGGAGAGTTACTCTTTCAGTTTCAGGGTGCAAGGAAACCTGGCCTTTTTTTGGAACGCAAAGCTCTGTTAATATAAATAGGATTAAGCTTAAGTCCACCACAATCCTGATAACCTCTGCTCTGTAGCAAACCTTAGGCTGCTTTGTTTTTCCTCTGAAAATCCTGTTTTTGAAAGAAATGTTGGTGTGGGACTTGAGCTTAGTGTCTTCTCAGTTAAGTCAGGATTTAGGGGAACAAAAATTCAGACCAGCATGTAGAGAAGTAGCAGGAATCTCCTTGGTAGCAAATGGCTGAGTGCAGTTACTCAAGGAAAAGAAAGGACAAGCTAGGATGAACCATTGCTGTTCCCTCTCTGATTGCTCTTGGATATAGCTGTCAGCCAGGAGTTGTTTGAGGTGAATGGTCTGGGGCTGCTGTTCTCCTGGCAGGATAGAGTGTAGCAAGTCTTGTTTTTTGTTTGTGTGTGCTGGAAGATGATACCTGGGGCATTTTTGCTTTGCAACAATTTAGGACTCTTGGTAAAGTCACTAGCTCTTTAGTTTTTGGATATAAAATCAGGAAATACTGATCACTCCAACCGTCTGAGCTTACACAGGAAAATCTTACGCTTTAGTGGAAAAAATATGTACTGTAAGTCTGCTAATGAAATGTCAGCCTCCAGTGTTACAGCAGCTACTGCTATGAAATTCTCTCCTTTGTGGTGGTAACATTCATCTTCCGTTGCCTTCAAGTCCTCCTTTTAGCAGCACTGTTAAAAGTATAAATGTCCCAGTGATTTTCTTTTTGTTCTAATGATAACATTTTAATTCTTGTGCTTTGAAGACATGGAGACTAAAAGATTGCCAAAATGCTTTCTTATGCATGCATGAGGAATGAGAGAAAATAAAGTCTTTTTTTTCCATGGACTGGAAAAAGTACTTGAATGGAAGAGTCAAATAAACTCCAGTGTAAAATTGCAAGCTTTCTGTAGACGAGAAGGGATTTTGCCTCTGTGGAATTAATATGAGAGAACATTCCAGTTCAGAACTTTGTAAAATGATTTGAAAAATGACAGCAAGGCAGTCAGCACAGTTGTTAGGAGATTACTTCCCCAAATTACACAGGCTTCAGGTACAATTTTCATGCAATTCCATTCAGTAGGTCTTTAGTATTGAATCTGGATAATTCTATAATAATGTGCTATTGTAAACAAGCCTACTTTATTTCTACTGGTACTTGCTTGAATAAAGCTTTATTGAATATAAGTAATAGAAGGATTGTGCTCTGCCTAGCTCTGGAATCAGACTGTTTTGAGATTGGGGGCGCTCAGATCCAGCATCAGTTAAAATACTGTTGCAAGATGCAGAACAGCTTCTTGCAGGTTGGCAAGAATGATCATCGCTGTTCTGGAAATCGACTCAGAATCATTCACTTGTACAGGAGAGAGAAGTTAGCAATTGTTGATTCTTCACAGTCCCCATTAAGTAGAAAGTAACTTCTGAAACAGGGCAGGCAAAACTGATGTGCACTGTTGCCGTTACAACGGAAGAAAAGCTTTCAGACTCAGTCCATGTGACAAGGCCACGTCTGCTCCAGCAAGCGTGCACCAGCTTTTCCAGTTCTGCTTTCTTTCCTTCCAAAAGCCAGCAGCAATCCCTGAAGCTCGCATCCTCTATCCCACTCTCCATCTCCGCTGAGTAAGCAGCAACAGCCTCATGGAGGTCCAAGCACCTTTCTGAGCCAGCAGACTGAGCCATGGTGTGGTTAATGTTGGATTTCCTATGTCAGGATAATTACAAGTGAAGCCATGATCAGATTGTGACTTTGATGGGTTGTAAAAGCATAAAATCTGACATTGCTGAGATAATACGGAATGAAGTCTTAAAACCTGCTGCATGGGCAGAATAATGGGAAGCTTAGTGAAACAGGATGTAATCCCATAAATGGATCAGTTTGTTTACCCTCTGTGTGCTACACCAGCCCAGCCCAAAGGGATTTCAGTGTCACCAGAGCCCCTGTTGGCTGTGGAAGTGCTGCAGGGGTGCGGTGGAAGGAAAGGCATTGAGGACCTTCAGGTTGCTGTCCCTGCACTTCTCCCACTCACCTGAACCTTGATTTTTCTTCCCTGCTGGCAATGCTCACAGCTGAATGAAGCAGCACCTAGTGTGACCCACTGGAAAGGCAGTGCTTTTTGCTGTCATGTCTTGCAGATGGTTAAGTGCTGTGGCAAGCCAGTTTGCTGGAGTACAGGGCTTTGTGCAGACAGGAACTTGGTCTTCTAGAAATGCTGATGCAGTTCTATGGCAGTGGAGCTGGGGGAGAAACTGTACAACAGGGTACCCTTTCCCTGCTGAGTGGTGCATGTTCCCATGAGTGATCCATGCTACAGGGTGTGCTGCAGGGGAAGGCTGTTTTATTTTCCAGGAAATCCATCCTCGTTTATTTTGGTAGATAGTAGAGTTTAATAGGAAATAGCACAGATTTTTCTTGCTTCTGCACTGTGGGTTTTCTGCTTTATAGATACCTTGGAAAAAATGCAGTTGGCAGTGGGGCCATGAAATGCAGTGAGCAAATCAGTTCTGGCACTGTTGTGCTGCCTGCTTGCTCTTCCTGCCCTGGCATGGAGCGAGCTGCACCACAGTGTGCCGTGATGTCAGGGCCATGCTCAGCAGGCTTTGGGGTTCAGAAAAGTAAGAACTATGCAACTCCCCTCTGAAATGGCAGTGATGTGCAAATGTTTTGTTTTCCATTTTCAGCAACAGCTACAGGCATATGTGGCCTGGGTAAATTCCCAGCTGAAGAAGAAGCCAACAATAAAGCCAGTCCAAGACCTGAGACAAGATCTCAGAGATGGAGTCATCCTTGCCTCACTTATTGAGATTGTAGGTCAGTAATGCCATATGGCACTATTTTTCATCTTGCTGTTTTAGATCTCCAGCAAAATGGGCTGGTCTTGGCTCTGACATCTGTTGGGCAAACTGGAGAGTGCTAATGATGGCAGTGGAGCTTGGGGGGAGGGTTACTTGGAAAGAAAACCATCGTAAAGCAAATCATAAAGACAATTCCATTAAAGGCCATATGCGTTTGCAGACAGCTGCAACACAGCCAAATTGCAGACCTTCTGAACTATGTTTGTGGTCTCTCAGGTATCACGTGACAGACATGTGGAATCCTTTCCAGGACCCAGTAACTCCCACAAGGCTGGAATGGAGTTATAGAAGGATTTATCTTATAAAGGACTGGTGTTAGCGTATGGCATTGTTGGAAGAGTGATCTGCTTGCTGTGATTCTGATATTCATAAGAAGTGAGAGCAGAATCAGATTTGAGGGATAATTCTGTCTCTCTCTCTGCAAAACAGTGTAATTTTTCCACTCATAAGGTCAGTGGATCAGGAGTAGTCATGGAATAAGGAAGTACACTTGAAAATGCTTCTTTGCTGCTAATATACTGTAAAGTCTGCTTCCAACCTAGCTATCCCTGGTACAAGGAGTAAGCAGGACAAGAAATGCATGTCTTCTTGCAGTCCCTGACTAGATGTAAAATCAGCGCCTACATCTATTATCAGTGCTTGAAGTGACACCAAACACTATTCTCTGTAATAAAATTTTTTGCTGCTTCAGCTGGTGAGAAGCTAAATGGTGTTCAGGTCAACCCTACCAGTCAGCAGGAGATGAGGGAAAATGTGGAGCAAGTCTTACAGTTCGTGGCGTCAAAAAAGATTCGTATGCATCAGACATCAGCAAAAGGTATGAGCCTGCCAGTTGTCACAAATGATTCGAAGTGTTGAAGGCCTAGTTCTATTTTTGTTCCATATGAAACAGACAAGATGTTGATTTGTGGAGGAGGGTTTTTGCCCGTGTAGTTTAGCAACAGAGTGATAAAGAGGTGACAGTCTGTGTCTTTTTTTTCCTGCTGGTTCTATTTTTCAGACACCAAAGCAAATAACCAGCCCTCATACTTCCAGTGCCTGTGATATTATTTTAAGGCTTTCAGAAATTATAATGTTCTGTCATTTAACCTGCTGGACTGTTAGTTGGAAATGGCCACGGGGAGGAAGGCTCAAGTCTGCTCAAAGCATTGAAACATGTAATCAGTAGGTGGCAGTCAGTTTGCTCTGAACAAAACAAGCAGAGCTAAGCGTCAGTGCTATAACACAGTTTCTCTTTTGCAGTCTTTATTTACTGGTGTGATCTCAGTTACATTCATGCTTGTTGGTCAGATGCAGCTCTGTGACATCACATTAACATTACTGTCCTTGGCTTTGTTTGTATTTTGTAGATATTGTCGACGGTAACTTAAAATCTATCATGAGGCTGATCCTCGCCTTAGCTGCTCATTTCAAACCAGGCTCCGGAAGAGCTGTGAATCACAGCCCTGCTGGCACGACGGGGAAGAGCTCAGCAGCATCGTTTTCCAGTCACAGGCCCCGCTCAGCTGCTGCAGTGGCCCAGGGGGCGGTGGCTGCTCTGGCAGATGTTCGCCAAGACGTACTGCAGTCTGGCCGGGATGTCTTCCGGCACAGACAGAGGTAATGGATTTTTTCTGCTTATGTGTGGTCAGACTGTGTTAGCAGGTGGACACGATTCATTTCAAAATAGATGCCTCTTTTTCCTGACAATTCCTGACATAGGGCAGCTCTTAGATTGTGTAAACAAGAGACAAACCACTGCTGTCTCACTAAACCCTGAATTGGTGGCAGCCTAACAGAGGGGATTGCTGGTCTAGACTGGATGCCTCATAATGAAAATTACAGGTATCTCAGGTCTTTTTTGGATTTTACAGCAAATAACTGCTGAGCCTGTGTTCACTGAAAAAGAACATGTCTTTATGTCCAAGACAGAGGAACTTCTGCTGCCTCATCTTCCACAATTCAAGCTGAACACAGTGCCATCTTTGTGCTTTCTTCCTGCAGGGTTCCCATTTCAAATGAAACAAAACTAACCTCTTATCTGCAGATGCTATTTACAGGTCTGTGAGGAGTTATTGCCAGAACTGTGGGTTTGGTCCTGTTGTACACGTTTATTCCGCATTCGATGTTGCTGTTCTCCCCAGTGTTCCACTCACTGCTGTGTTGGCAGATGCAGTGTTGTGTGTTGTTAATCAGATGATGCATCCTACCATGTAAATGGAGGAGTTCTGGTGATAATGAGGGGAAATTATCCATGTATGGAAGGAATGTGTAATTCTGAAAGCACATTTAACACTTGCAAAAGGTGCAATGTGGATTATAATAGTAATGACATTTAAATGAAGGCCAGATGGCTGTCTTTTGAGGGTTTCATTTCACACACAGCTTCATACACAGCTGAAGGTCATTTGCCCATGTTATATTGGCTTAGGGGTGTACCCTTAAACAGTGTGGAAATGATGTTGAAATTGTTGTGTTTTTTTTTGTTTGTTTTAATTAATATCTTTTATTAAATGTTAAAGATTTGTCTTGCAAAGATATTGGGTCAAGAGTTCATCACAGAAAAACAGTCTTTATTCTGTTTGCAAATTCTGCTCTTTTCCTTGCCTTTACAGAGCTTTTGTGGTTCTCTAGTCACAGAATTAAGGATGAATGCATCACCTTCTTTTTACATCAGTCTTTAATATTCAGACCAGTTATCTGACCTGAATGTCTGGGGTGGGGAGCAGAACAAACCCCACCACAATTCAGGTAGAAACATTTAGAGACCTGCTATTCCACTTGGACTGACAGAAGTTCCTGGCACCAGGTGGGATCCATGGGATCCATTCAGGGCTGCTGAGGGAGCTGGCAGATGTGGTTGCCAAGCTGTTTTCCATCATCTATTAGCAGTCCTGGTCATCTGGAGAGGTTCCAGCTGAATGGAGTCTTATTAATGGGATGCCCATCTATAAAGGTCATGAGGAGGATCTGGGGAACTACAGGCCTGTCAGCCTGACCCTGGTGCTAGGAAAGGTTATGTAAGCATCATCTGGATCATCTTGGCTGCAGTCTCATGGCATGCGCAGGACAACCTGGGGATCACACCCACCCAGCATGGGTTCATGAAAGGCAGATCCTGCCTGACCAAACTCACCTCCTTCTATGACCAGGTGACCTGCCTGGGGGATGAGGGAAGGGCTGTAGATGTAGTCTACCAGACTTCAGCAAGGCCTTTGACATTGCCTCCCACAGAATTCTCCTGGAGAAGCTGCAGCCCTTGGCCTGGACAGGTGTGATTTTTGCTGGGTAAAGACTGGTTGGATGGCTGGGCCCAGAGAGTGGTGGTGAATGGAGTTACATCCAGCTGGTGACTGGTCACTGCAGGCTTGGGGCAGAGTGGCTGGAAGGCTGTGTGGAGGGAGAGGACCCAGCGGGTGTTGGTAGTAGGTGGACAGTTGGACTAGATGATCTTCGACCCTAATTAGAGAATCAGAGAACTGCTCAGGTTGGAAAAGACCTTCAAGATCATCAAGTCCAACCTCAACCTAACCATACTACCCTAACTCTAAAAACCCACCTCTAAATCCTAATGATACTATGATTCTTGAGTTTAAAAGGGGGGGTTCTGTTTGCCTTTGTTTTCCTCTCACCAAGATGATGAAGTAGAGCTCCCTGTAAGAAAGCTTTCTTAGTAGGAAGTTTTCTAGATGTTCCCTCCTTCCTGCCTTTAGCTTTCTTCCCTTCCTCCTTGGAGACCAAAAGAATTTCTGCCCCTTACTAGATGAGGCATCACTCATTCTGTGATCGTTAATTCCAGAAACAGCAGCATGGATGAGGAGATTGAAACCCCCTACTGGAGTGTTCGAGCACTGGTGCAGCAGTATGAAGGGCAGCATAACATCCCCTTGGAGCCCCAGACCTCCAGGTAAGGAATTTTATTGCCAAGTCATGACCTCTCATGTTCATTTGTCAGGCACTGCCTAAAATGCCCTTTGTTATTGTGATGGAAAAAATGTGGAGGAAAGGAACTTAAATCAAGCAAACGTTGTTACCTGTGGAAATAGAAGTGAGGGGCATGTGGATTTGAACAGCAGTCAGAGAAACACACTAGTGTTTAATCCAGTCTGGCTGTCCCTGGGAGATCTACAGCTGTCTTCATCACCATCATGTCCTCATCCAGCAGTTTCGACTGTTTCTAGATTTACAGTTATCTCTATTACCCTTCTATCCTCCAGGCTTTCACTTTCAATCTAAAATGCAACACTTAACTATTTGGCTGAAAAATCTCCTGCATAGTGCTTTGATGCCTCAAAAGTCAGAGTTCACTATGGTTTCCATTGGAGTTGGCTTTGTTCTTTAAAATAGGACTTGGATCTTGAGTACGTGTTCTGTGCTATAAACAGCCTTCAGTTTCCTCACTGCACAAGTTAAGCAGCACCAAACTGGGAGAAGTGGAACGCTTTCTAAAAAATAGTCTGCAGAAGCCAGGACTGGTTAAAATGGCATCATGTAACATCATTTCCAGTATGAGGTGGTAAAACTTGCAGTTGTTAACCTGGTTAGTGTGTGCCAGTCAGAACACACACACTGGTGCCTTGCATGCTCTTCTCACTCCTCTTTGCTTTGGGGAATAACTCAGAACTCTGGCCCCATTTACTTCAGCAGAGAGGGGGAAGGGAGAACATGTGTCTATGTTTATTTTCATGGATATACGAGAGACAGCAGAAGAAAAACTGTATTATGGTGGGGGAGCTGATTTACTATGGGTGGATTCCTAGTAAAGGACAGCCTTTCTCTTTTTCCCCAGATAGGGAGAAACTAGCTTGCACACTGACTGAACATATTAGGTTTCCCTCTGGGTACAATGCTTTGCTCTATTTAAGCTCTTCTGGAGCACACTAAGAGCTGTGTGGGCATGGTTGCAGCTCTTTGATTCACACTTTCCTGTTCCCGCTGTAAGCCCCAACTCAGTTTCATTGCTTCTCTTGCCAGGGCTGCTCCCTGAGACTCTCTCAGCTGGGCTCTCATTTGCCCTTTTTGTGCAGGTGTGAGGAGGTTCATTTTCTTAGGGCTGATTGCCACTGACAGTTTCTCAGGGCACAGAATTTCTCAGCTCCATACTATAAAGAGGCCTCTGAATACCTGAGCATTAGGATCACTTGTCCAACAGAGAAGAATGAAAGAAAAAGGAAAAACCAAAAACAACACAACCATTTGTACTCAAAATTTGTTGTGTGTTAGTGTGAGGTCTGCTTTAAACATAGGCACACATGTCTGAATAGGTGTGGAAACTCCCTGTGAGCCAGTGCCTCCACATGATGTCAGCAGAGAGTGTACTTCGAAGGTGTTGTTCCAGGGAGAGATAAAAGAAAATTCTGGTCCAGGACACAGCATTTCATGGTTAATGTCACAGGACTTTGGTGTTAATTCTTGAACTGTGATCTCAGCAGGACAGTGACTGAGCTATGCTACTTCCCTCCACTCACTGTTCATTTTAACGTAGCCATATTTTACAGGTGCTCCTCTGTCCTGTCAGGCAGGCATTCTTGGACAGCAGCAGTTTGTGGCTGTATTTTGCTGTTCAGTGAAACTGTGTGTGCACATCCTACGTTGCTTTGCTTTTTCCCTGCAGTGCCAAGAGTTCTTTTGCCATATGGTAATGGTGATATCATTGCTGATAACATAACATAACATGGTGAGAGCCTTTATGATAACACTGACTTCTAAAATTTACTGTGGATTCAGAAAATATTGTGCCATCCAGCTGAAAATCTGAAATAAACTGTCTAGCTTTTTTAGTGAGAATTCTTGCACTTTTTTAGTCTGTTTCTGCTTGGAACTTTTAAGTGTTTTGTTTTCAGGAGGAAAAAATAGCACATCTCTACATTGTGGAGCATAGTGCATCTTGCAGGCATTGTAAATGTGAGCTGATGTGGGTGAGTAGAGGCCTGGGGCCAAAATAGTGAGGGCTGATGTGTTTGGCAAAGCTTTACAGTGGTCTAATTCTGGAAACACTGTGTGATGCTTGGGAAGAAATAAGGAAGAAAAGCACAGAAACACTCTTCGTGTTGCCTCATTTCATTAATAGGAGCTGCTTATCTGGAGTTTAAAATCTTGAAACTACCCAAAATTGTTCTCAGCAATCAGTCTGCTCACTTATCTGTGCATAAGGAGCAGAAGGGGGGGCCTGAGCCTTTGCAGGCTACCCAGTGTTTTTTTTATCCTACAGTTCTGCTAATCCTGTGCTATGGGATGCACAGAGAGCTACTGGCAGCTCATCAGGAAATGATCAGAGATTGGATCAAGCTGGGGCTAAAACAATTTTAATTAAAACTGGGAATATGCTGCAATATGTAATTAAATTTTAATCACAGTATCTAGAGAATACCAATATTCCCCAGTTATCGTGCGGATTTTTGTTACCTCAGAGGTGAGGGTCAGAATGTGTGCTGTGTTTATCAGCTAGGAGACAGAGTGGGAGAGAGATGTGAGTGCTGGGGTCTCTGTCGCCCAAGGACAAGACCGTAGCTGTGAGGGCTGCTGACAGAGCAGGCAGGATGATGCCTTGGATTTTTTATTTTTTATTTTTTTTTTATTTTTTTTTTTTTCCATGCAAGACCCCAGCTGAGGAATAGATCCAAGCTGCCAGGCAGGAAAACTTTTTACTGTAGCCTCCAGTACTGCCAGCTACAGAACTTGTGTGTGAGCAAGGAGAAAGCAGATTGGGGCTCATCCGATGCTGTTCACCAGAGGCACAGCAATTACAAACACACAGATTGGCTGCTGAATTGCAGGAGAAACTGCCAAGTGGGGAAGGATCTATTTATACCAAGTCTTATGAAATCAGGAATATATATATATATATTGCCCTGTTACAGGGCACCAGTCACTGCCTGGTGCCTTAGAAATAAGACTCAGCAGCAGCGAAACTCTGTATCTTGTTTCGATGTGTTGATGCTCACAGTGACCTTGCTTTCTTCTACCTCTAGTCAGTGATGTGCCCAAAAAAGCCAGGAGCAACGTGACCTCTGGCTCCTGGCAGTGTCTTCTGCTGGCGGCAGGTTCTGTGGTGAAAGTTAGATTCTCGTTTCTCTTCTCTTACAGAGGAATTTCTGAGCTTAGCTTTGTGAACTTGCTGGGAAACAAGCCATTGTATTAGTGAGATGAGGTCTGTACCAGCAGCCACCCCCTCCTAATAATTGTGCTGCTGCTGAGCCTGTCCCAGGGCAACACTTCCTCTCCTATCAGCTAATTTCTGCATTAACCCTTCAGGGAGTTCGCAGCCTGAATGTCAGAATTCCCAGAGACAAGATATCTAATAACCATATGTAACAGCAATGATTCATGGAAATTTTACCAAAACCAGGCTGATTCCCAGGCCACCGAGCTCCTTGCGCATCCCTCCTCCTCTTCCCTCCCTTTCCACCAGCCCTCCCTCCCCCTCCCTGAGGCAGGCATCTCGGAGAAAGGCTCTGCCTCGCACAGCCGTGTGACAGCAGGAGGGAGAAGGAGCTGGAGCCAGCGAGGAAAAGGAGCCGTGCGCACGGCTGGGAAGGACTGCATGCCGTCTTCTGAGCCAATATCTGAGTCTGGAGGAGCAGGGAACCCACTGCCTGCAGGGGCACTTTCTCTTGGCTGTTCGCTGGCATCTGCAGCAGGTGCTTGGAGTCTGAAGAGGACAGAATGGGATGAGAAACGCCACTGGCGAACCAGATCAGTCTTGTGATGCAAACAACTGGGTGTGCAGCTGACCAAAATGCAGCAGCAAGAGACAAATAACCCGGGAGGAAAATCAGCAAAAGCAAAACCCAGGCAGCAGAATTTCCTGACTCTGCAATCAAATCTGTGCGCAGGGGCTGCTAATCTGCCATCAGACGGTTTCTTGCAAAGACCCTGCGGTTTTTTGGTGGTTTTTTTTTTTTTTTTTTTTTTTTTGGCTATGAACATTTCAGCTAATGTGAAGCAGTCTGGCTTGCAAATATTTCTCCAGTAGTTTGACAGGAGCTGGCATCTTCTGCACTGAAGTCTGAGCATGTGAAGGAACGAGGCATGTCTGTAGCCCGAATCCTGAGGCTTCCCAGGAAACAAATTCTGTGAGGCGAAAGGTTAAAGTGGGATCATGGGAGGGAAGCAGGTCAAATGGTGAGCGATTGTTGCCGTGGTCATTTGAAACCGCAGGGGTGGAGTGCTTATTAAAATTGTGGGAGTTCAAGCTTATCATTGGGGCTGTTTTCCTGAAGCCTGGGCTGTGCAGATACTGACATCTCTGGGACTCAGCTGAGCAAGGATTTGTGGGTTAAGAATCCAAGAGGTGGTAAAAGGAATAAAGTGGAACAGTTTGCATCATAAAACTGAAATAGCTTTAATTTCCCAGAGTGTATTTCTGCATGCTTTGATCACGAATTATGATATACTTTTAAGGGAAAGTTGGGTAAGTGGATATTTTATGCTCTAAGTGACTCGGCAACTAGTAGAAAAAGCGTAGCAATGTTTTCAGCATTAACTCATTGATGGCAGAATGAATGGGACCACCTGACCTCTGCTACTGCTTATCAGGCATCTGTGCACATTTCAGTGTCACTTTCACTGTTTGACGTGGGTTTAGAATTTGTTTCTGGTGCCATGTAGACTCTCTGGCTCTTAAAATAAGGAAGCTGCCTAAAAGGGGGACTGTGGGCATAGGAATGTCAAAGTGATTATCTGTAATAATATATGGTGTGAAAACCCGTGGTGACAGTTCAGCCTACCTCTGCCCCAGCTGAGGGCCCTTGTATTTCATTTGGGCTGTGGATCCAGTTCTGAGAGGGGTGAACGTGGGGAGAGGGGGAATGTTATTTCCATGTTCTGCATCCCCTTGTTTTTTTTATCCTGCATGTTCTGTTCACTTTTCCTTCCCGTTCTCTGCTCATACCTCAGTTTTGCCACCTTCTCATCCAATAGTTGCTAATACTGTTTTTCTTGGACATCTCTCATCCTTTCACCTTTAGCATGCATGAGAACCAGCAGTGTGCTTCCTAGTGGCCATATCAGGATGATGGCATGTTCAGAGTCTCCTTGGGGAGGAGAAATGAAGATCTCTGGCTCATAGGAAAAAAAAAAAAAAAGAGTCTTTCTGATACTGGACATGTTAGATCAGCTGAGCTCCTGCTTTGTGCGTGTGCTATTTGAAAGCTCCACCTATGATCCTTAGTGTGTAACACAAACCCAGCTATACTTACTGGGCTCTCAGACAATTATTTTACGTTGTGTATCCATTCAGTGACAAGCAGTAACAAGCAAATGGTTGAAAATGTTATATATAAGATGTGTCTAATTAAGGATTGGTATAATGCAGTCTTCCTGAAGGTAAACCCTTGGGCAAAGGTAGGTGGCCTGGAGCCCTTAAACAACCACACACACCCTGTTTGAGCAGGACAGAACAAGCACCATGACTGTTAGAGATCCCCATTAGAAGGTGATTATTTTTTCACTTATTAAATTGCCTTCATTTCTTCCTTTAATGTGGTGAAAGTCCACTCTCTTTAGACCTTTAAAAGTAGGTTGTTTTAAGGTCTGTGGTGTAAATGAAAAATAAGCCAGTGCTAACTTTGGTAATGGATGAGCCAGAGATGCTAGCAAGTAGTTTTCATCTATATTGCAAAGCTTTTCTGATTCTGGGAGAGCTGTGGAATATGTAGCAGCAGTGCTGGGAAGATGCAGAAGGCAAGCTGCTGGAGTGTCTTATTTTTCTGAACCTATTCTATTATTTTCACATTGTTTCCCTTTTGTTCTCTGTGCTTTGTTTCCATGTTGAGAATGAAAAATTAACTCCTGCTTACACTTGCAAGGATTAGTTCCTGAGACTTGGGAGGTATGCTGAATGGGTCAGTGAGCTTCAGCCACCTTTTGATGTTGTCTGGGTGATGCATTTTAGAAGAATTTCTGAGAAAAGGTTGAGTGTTTGGACCTCACAGTCATCTGAGATGGCTCCAATGAAGCTATTAGGGTACTTTCAAGATCTTTATATCAGGGATGTCCTGGATGAGTGCTATCTGACATTTAAAAATATTTTGCCTTTGGAATTTCGAGTTTGTTTTCTTATTGCATTGATGCTTTTAAAGCCCAGAAATGAGACACGAAGAAAGCTAAGGTGGCTTTTTGTTTAGCTTGCAGTATGCAAGACTTGCTATAAATTGCTTCTGAGGAGACCTTTATTACCTCTGTGTGAGTTATGTGCCTACTTCAGTTTGCTGATGACTTCCCTGCCTGTTATGCAGAAAACTCTCTTAACAAGATTTCCTGTATGTTTGCTTTTAGCTGAGAGTGGTGTTGATCAGTGCACTGAAATAACTGTTTCCTCTGCAGTCTCACATCACCCAGTCCTGTCCATAGCACGAAGAGCGAATCCACTGTAACCCAGTCAGAGGAGAAAGCAGGATTTGTGATTATCCACACTGAGGAAGCAGAAACTAAAACAGGTAGTTTGCTGATAGCGCTTAACAGCTCACACTTTCACTGGGATTTGTTTGCATTTGTTTACTGAAAAGTTCACCAGAGACTGAAATGCATATAGAGAGAGAATGAATTCTCTGCAGAGAATGGGACACTGGGCAACTAAACATAAAGCAAAATCTAAAAAACTTCTAACAGTACAGTGGTGCCAGTAATATGACAACGTTTGTGAGGGCTTGCTAAGCGATACTTGGAAAACAAAATGCTCTGGAGAAGGTTTAAGAATCACATATAACTTTCACTGTAGGGTGAATGCTTTAATCGCAGTATCATTAGGCTGTGTTGAGAGAAAAAAATAAAATTCCTAAAGACACAGTGCATGTGAACGTGTAAAGCCTATGATGCAGATCTTGATTTTGTGGAGGAGTCTGTGTTTACAGTGCATCTACACATAGGTTGAGTGACTCTTTGAAAGGAGTTGAAGTATTGTTGTTGTATTTTCATTGAAGTTATTGCTGTATTTCCACAAATGCCCTGTGATATGATCAGTTTACACTTGAAATTTTCATACAGATTGAGGGAAATGCTTTCAAAGAAGTTTCTGAAGTGACTTTTTTTTTTCTCCTTTCCAGGAATGCAGCTTAATAACAGCTCTTTCTGGTTAGATTCTGTCCCAAGAGCAAATGGCAGAAGCTCTCCTAGGAAATACTTTGCTGCCTCAGCCAGTATAGTCTGCTTCAGTGCTTTTCCAAAAGTATTTGATGACTACCTCAGCAGGTGGATTAGCTGGCAGGCCATGGCAGGCTCTTTAAATTATTAGCAGCACTCTGTGTACTTGCTGCCCGCTCAGTTGGGTACTGCAGCTGTGTGCCTGCTGATGCACAGCAGCTTGAGCTGACTGGTTTCATCTTTGATCAACTAAGTAGCAACTAAGTAGTCATCAAACCTCAGCAGGTACAGCAAAGTTAATGGAGGGGAAGGATACTGATTGTCTTTGATGCAGGCATATTCAGGAAAATTTCCTTTGCATGAAGAATGAGGAATGAAACCTTGAAACACCTGTAGCAATTTCCTTGATGCCAGTTTGTATGTGATTGACATTATGGACAGCAGGCAATTAGTGTTGTGCAAGTCTTTTCTATCTATATAATGAATGGCCTTAAGAAACATTCAGTTGTTCTTTCTTCCAGAAGAGATAGAATCTCACTTCCAACCTGAATGGCAAGCAGGGAACCTAGGGTCATGTTTGGAGAATTCATGGGAGGAGCAGCTATTGGAACAACAGGATCATTTGGAAAAGGAAATGGAGGAAGCAAAGAAGATGATTTCAGGTTTGCAGGTAATAGATATTCTTCTCAGACAGCTTTTCCGTACGCACTCATTTTCTTTCCATCAGCTGTAGCTGGAGTGTAAATTATCTTGCAGCTGAGTCTGGAACTTGAGAGCTGAGGAAGAGTCGTGGCCCGGGGAGGTCTCCTGGGGCAGTTGTCAGGAAGTCAGTTGGTTAGTGGGGATGGTGGCTCTGTGTCTCTGACCTCTGTATGCTATTGCCATGCAAAGCAGATACATTACCATGCAGAATGGTAAAGATGCAGTAGTGTTTTCCCATGGGCTGAGGTTCCCATTCTTCGCCAGGGCACTTATCAGCCTGCAGGTTTTGTTAGCAGTCTGGAAGAATAGAGCGGTCTTTCTGTGACTTGTGATCAGAAGTAATGCAGAGAGGCAAGAAATGTTGAGAAATCAATGAAGATTCACAGGCTGGTCAAGGGGCACATAGGTGTGCATCAGTCTTTCAGTGAACTGGGCTGAACTATAATGTTTAACGCACCCCTCTTCAGCCAATGACCATTTATTTGGGGGACCTTTTTCTCACTGCCATGTTCCAGTCCCTTGCTGACCAAATGACCCTCAGCCCAATATGTTTGTGTGATTCTGCGTGGGGAATAGAGCCCCTGTTCCATATGGTAAAGACCCTGAACTCTCTCAGGAATATTTCTTTCTGTTTGTGCTGGGAACCATCCTGGCTTTGAATTGTAAATATTTATGTGCCAGTAAACAAAGCAGAGATTGTCTGAGAAGCATAGGCAGCAGGGAGGGGCTTTCCCTGTGGACAATAGGCAGGACACAAAAGGCTCCAAAAGAAAATATATGCTCATGCACTGGTAAAATCCGGTTGCATTATGTGCCCACTGGGAGCTGGGAGAGACAGCACAGGAAGGACTGGCACGTCCAGTTCTTCCATCCCTGGCCCCATGTCTCAGGAGTGAGGGTGAGCAGCTGGCACTGCTGCTCCCTTATCATCTAGGAGTAGGAAGAGGCAGCTGATATTGCTAGCCAAGAAATTGATTTAATTGATTATTCTCCCCCCCGTGCAGCATTTTAGAGCTGCCAGTTCATTAAAGTTTGACTGAGATACAGGGGCCTGATCTATGCATGCCCCATAAGGAGCTAAAACCACGACAGCTTTTTATGTTCCTATGTGACTCTTGCTTCAATGTCCTGCTGGGCAGACTTTGGGTTGCACTCAGGGAATGGTTTCCCTAAGAGCCTTTGCATTAACTGAATGCAGATTGCTGGCTGTTTGCTATTCAGCAGCAGTTGCAGCACTCCGGGGGAAGATTCTGTCAGCAGGCAGAACCTTGAGTCTTTTGGAGCTGGACTGGAGTATTGCTGCAAATTTTTGTTTGTAGCTATAGAGTTTAAATAAAGTAGAAAAGTAATTTAAGGGGAAAAAAAAAAAAGGCATTACTTTAAATTGTTGACTCTTGCAACATCCTGGCACGTACCCATATGTCTTTGAGTCCTAGAAGCTTGAGACAGAAAGGTCAATGCAAAAAACACCAGCTAGAGTAAACCAGTCCTGCCAGTCACACTTCCTATGGTACAGGATTATCCATCCTTAAGGCTGGATTCAGTTTACTGTGGAGATTGTGGCATCTTCCCATAGACATGGCCTACTTGGATCTGCTTATGGAGTTAATGCTGTGCTTCTAGAAACTGTTGATATGTCTGACCGTTAGCCAGGTCTGTAGTTAACCTGTTTTTCCTTTAAAAACCTCTGAAGAGTTTTTTTTTTTTTTTTTCCTTCATCCTCTCAGGCTTTACTGCTCAATGGCTCTTTACCTGAGGATGAGCAGGAAGGGTCCTTTAAACTTTGTGAACATGGAGCCTGCCCAGAAGAGCAGCTGGTGAGCACACTGTTGTACTTAGGTTTCTCTAACTGAGCAGCTCTAGGTAATATTCTGCCACAGGCAGGTGTTTTACACAGTAATAATCATGGGTTTTTGTGTTCAGATCATAATCCGAAGTCGTCTGGACCAGAGTGTGGAAGAAAATCAAGACCTAAAGGTTAGAGGAATTGATTTTCTTTTTTTCTCTCACACCTATAATAACAGGGGCTTAAGGAGCTGCTTATTTGATTTGCGTGTGGGAAAAGGAGAACACAGGCATGGGTTGAATCTGAACAGGTGAAAAGATGCAATTTAATCAAATTCTTTTGGATTTACAGAAGGAGCTGTTGAAATACAAACAAGAAGCTCGAAACTTACAGGGGATAAAGGTAAGGAAAGGGACACTTCATCAAATATATAAACATTAAAGCTCTGGAGTTTGCTGCAGCCCAGGACTAGGGCAGTCAGCAATCATACATTTCTGTGGAATCCAAGAGAATGGAAGGAGCTGTATTAGGGCAGTTGGAGGTAGGGTATCCTATACTCTATTTCTGGTTCTTGGGAGAGACTGCAGTTGAGAAAGTCACTAGGAGTGAGGCATCCTGGGTTCTGTTTCTGTCTTCAGGGTTGGAGTAGGCGCAGTAGGATCAGCCAAACAAACTCTTGACAAGAGGGAGTATCCTTGTCCTCTTCAGCCGCAGCATTCTTCACCTTTTTGGCTTGTTTTGCTCAGTTTCTCCCTTTAGAGTTATGAACACTCATAATCTGCTCCTAAGCAGAGGTATTTTAGAGCTGCCTGTCAGCTTTCTGTGAAGGAAGACAGCAGCACCTATCCAAGGTGGAGCTCTCAGTTTCTGGGCAATTTCTAACTGAGTTGGGAATTACAGAATTAGTACTGACTGTGGCCTCTTCAGAGAGGATTTCATTGCATAATTAGATCATGCTGAGAATTTGTTTCCTTGTGTCCCTCCCTGACATTGGCCTCTTACTACCCTCTGGCTGCTGCAGTTGTGTGGCTGGAGAAACTAGCTGTAGGCTGCTGTACACACCCTCCAAAGACACTGCTGTTTTCTTCCATAAGGGAGAATTGTCAGGACACTTCTGAAGCAGAAACTTCAGGAAGAAGCAATCACTCCGTCACAAACATCTAAACCGTTAGCAGGGAAATTGTCACTGGGCGAGAGCAAGGCAGAAGGGCTCTGAGAGGCTGTTGGAGCAGATGTCTGTATGTCTTCTGCTCTCTCAGGCCTTTGACAACATTTGAGTCTAGCCTGTAAGGCCCAGATCACATCTAGATCACTTCCCATGGAAAGGTCTCTGCCTTTGTCTTGCACTTACCCATCAATGTCTTTTCATAGGATGCTCTACAGCAGAGGCTGACTCAACAGGATGCTTCAGTTCTTCAGCTAAAGCAGGAACTGCTGAGAGCAAACATGGACAGGGAAGAGTTGCACAATCAGAATGTGAGTCACTATGCTGCTGCTGAGATTATTTTAGAAAGAAAGAGCTTGGCAGCCCTGGGAATTCCAGCAGCCAAAGGATGGGGTTTGTGGTTGCAGCATAGCTTTTGAGGTCATGGGATAGTGAAAGACCAGTCAAAGGTCTGTGCAGTAAACACTGCAGACTCTACTAGCCAGCTGTGGAGAGTTCCCTATTCCTCACCCCCCACTTCCTGTACTCAAAGGCCTTTGGCTGAAACAAGGAGATTCCCATGATGTTTTCGGTGCAGTTGCACTGTTCCTTCCTTATACTGCTCCCTGCACTCAAAAGTAGCACGTTGACAGGTGGAGCTCCAACATGGTGTCTGCCTGAAGACAGAAGTGCCCTGTTCAAAAGCTTGCTGCCCTGGAAAGCAGTCTAGCTTCCTCAAACCCTGCCTCCTGTTAGCACAAGGCACAAAGAGCTTGTTGCTAACTCTTTAGGAATATACACTTCACACCTAATTGGTTTTTCTGCAGGTTGATCTTCAGAGGAAGGTAGAAGAAAGAAACAGGCTGCTGGCAGAATACAAAGTAATGGAACCTCTCTCTTTACTGGGGGCTTTGCTGGGGACGGTATCTGGTGGTTCTCCTGTGAATGTGACTGCTCTCTCCCTGGCAGCCTTGTGGAATGGCACTGTGGGCAGTGAATAAGTTGCAATAGCCATGCATGTTTGCTATGAGAAGGAGGGATCAGATAATTCTTGTGTTCCTCCCCAAACTCATTTTCATAGTGTATCTTTCATTGTCTTGCTTTTGGCTTGCTGAATGTTTAATGTGCAGAAGCCAGGTTAGAGTCTGTCACTTGGTTGCCTACTGATCCCTCATCATTGTGTTTTCTCTGCATCAGTTGTCTGGCCTCAGTCATGGACCTTGACTGGCCGAGGGGCTCTAGGTAACCTTTTCAAACAAGGCTTTGATACTCAGATCTAACATCTAGCTAAAAGGATACAGACTGTGTAGGTCAAGCTATAGAGTACATATTCCTGCCGTAATGATGATTGTGAGCCTTACCACGCTTTGATTCCCGTTACAGAAGGAACTGGGCCAGAAGGACCGACATTTACAGCAGCATCAAACCAAACTGGATGAAATGCTTAGGCAACTTTCTGAGGCCAGTTACCAGCAGGTGTGGAGCCAGGTGGGCTGCTGATATCCTAAGAGCTGGTACTTTCCCTCGGTGGCTCATTTTGTGCTGGTTCTTCTGTTCCTTTTACAGGTGGATTTGGAGCGGGAGCTGGAACACAAAGAGGCTCTGCTAGCTCACTGCATGAAGAGAGAAGCTGAAGAGGTATGGGAAGCAGAAGCTTTGGTCAACACAACAGACTGTTGGACCAGTATTTGCATTCAGCATTTTCTAGCTGCCCGTCTTCAGAAATCATATCCATCCCAGAGAGGCCAAGCTCAATATAGTCTAATTGACTGTGCCCTAAGCAAGGCAGGCTTACTCCCATGAAGCATCCATCTTACCACAGCTCTCAGCAGTGAGCTCTCTGGCATAGCTTCTAGTGTCAAAATCATAAGGGAACAATGAGGAGAGCACAGGATTAAGTGAAATCCTGGATTCTAGCTCCAACTCTAATGCAGGCTAGCAGCTAGGCCAGGACTTACCTTCTTATCTCCTCCTCTTCCTGGTGACACAGCTATTGAGAACTTGGAACTGTTTTGGTGGAAAGAACACCAGCTCCAGTGTCTGTCAGCGCCTGCACAGTGATCTCTAGAGTTTATAAGAGTCCTCTGAGGCAGTAAGAAGGTATTTCCTGTATCTGCCTGTGTTTCCTCACCCACACATGAGAAACCACACTTATGCTCTGGCCTATAGGACTGTCTCCACACTCCTTAAGTGAATGCATTTACCTACTAGAAAGTAAATAAATCTTTTTCATGCCCTCTCATCACTTTGAAGTTGGCAAACTGAGACCTATAGGGCATTCCTAACACTTGTATTCCTGGCGTCACATGCATCTTCCACTGAACAGGTGATGGCATATAGCAGTCACAATGCTCAGAGCAATGGCTTCCTCCAGACAGCAGGAAAAGGAGCTGCTCCCACAGCCCACCGAGGGGTAAGTGTATGGAGGGATGTTTTCCCAGCCAGATTGAGGTGAGGGCTCCACATGTCCTGGAATCTGTTAAGGGCTATTTCTCCTTTCTAAGGCCTGTGGCTTTAGATGGGAAGAAAGCATCCTGGAGATAATCTGATTAACTTTTGGTCTCTTGGCAAGACAAATGACTTGCAGCTCATTCGTGATGCACTTCGTAGCCTGAGGAACAGTTTCAGTGGCCACGATCCACAGCACCACACTATTGACAGCCTGGAGCAGGGCATATCGAGTCTGATGGAACGGTTACACCGCATGGAGACACAGAAGAGGCAAGAGAGAAGGGTAAAGGTTTCCTACTGCTTGCTTCTTAATTTCTGCCCTTCACACAGAACCTTAAACTAAACTACAACTTCCCAACTGGGAAGTAATACTTCATTTTCACTGTTTTGGTTTCACATCCTAGATCCGGGGGAAGTCGCCGGCAAGCAGAGCAACAAATGAGTGTAGAGACTCCTGGCCTCCAAACTCCAGTAAGTGTCTTTCAGTTCCTCTTCTTTCTGAATTCATTCCTCAGTTTTCCTGGGCAAAGTCTGGGATGCAGCATCTCCTTGGGAATCTGCCGCCTGTTCTGCCCTTCACCAAAGCTCACTATCCTCACTTTGGTCGCTTGGTGTTCAGGCAAAGGAAGGAGATTAGAGACCGTCTATAGCAGCTTTTTTGTGAAGCACCATTACACTGTGAAATGTCTGAACCAGTTGGGTAGTACTGCAGTAGAAATAATTACCCATGGGATGAGCTGGAAATGTAATGTTATTTCATCTTTCCTGCTGGTTTGCACCATCTAGTGGACGCATAACTGTACAGATTCTTCTCGCTTCCCCCACAGTGTCTGGCTCCTTTCATGTATGTGGAATAGCACAATTTCTGACATCATGTTTTGTGGCTTCAGCTGCAGCAGCTCCACGTTTGCTTTTCATTGTAAAGGCTGTTTGTTTCAAGCTTTGGTTATAAGTATTTCCTGGGAAGTCTGTGAGGGAAGCTGTAGAGGTTTCCAGGTACTGGGGAAAGGCAGAGGCCACCTTTTAGCTGCATTGCAGCATCCAGCAACAGGGTAGCCTGCATGTACAGGATGTGGAGAAAAGCAGGAGAGAATCACAGAATCGCCAAGGTTGGAAAAGGCCTTCAAGATCATCCAGTCCAACCATCCACCTATCACCAATAGTACTCAGTAAACCATGTCCCTCAATACAAAATCCAACCGTTCCTTGAACACCTCCAGGGTCGGTGACTCCACCACCTTCCTGAGCAGCCCATTCCAGTGTTTGACCACTTTCAGAAAAGCAGTATTTCCTAACGTCCAGCCTGAATCTCCCCTGGTGCAACTTGAAGCCATTTCCTCCAGTCTTATCACTGTTACATGAGAGAAGAGGCCAACCCCCAGCTCACCATAACCTCCCTTCAGGTAGTTACAGAGAGCAGTGAGGTCTCCCCTGAGCCTGCTCTTCTCCAGACTGAACACTCCCGGCTCCTTCAGCCACTCCTCATCAGCCCTGTGTTCCAGACCCCACACAGCTTTGGTGCCCTTCTTTCAACCCACTCCAGGGCCTCAATGTCTTTCTTGCAGTGAGGGGCCCAAAACTGGGCACAGTACTCGAGGTGTGGCCTCACCAGAGCTGAGTAGAGGGGAAAGACATATACTCAGAAGTCTGAAGGGGAGCCTGGGGAGGATTTGTTGAGTTCTCCCTGCTCTCCTATAAACTGCAGATTTTAGGGTCTCTGCATGTGTACTGTACCTCTCCCTTTCTCATTAAGCCTCAGCAGGCTTCATCCCCTGCCCTGCAGCAGGAAAATTGAGTTTTGTGGCCATAAACCTAAAATCTCTCAGGTATAAAGAGTTCTAAGAGGTGGCTCCAAAAATTTGTTAGAAAACCTATAACTTGGTGTCTGTTCTGCTTTCTGCATGCTGAGAGTTAAAATTGTAGAGTTCCTCAGTGTGAAGCTTCAGCTATCAGCACAGCACACTGAAAGGGCAGGGGAAACTAGGCAATATCCAGAGGGGAAAGAAACACAAATGAGCAAAGAAAAATATGTGCACAAACACTCATCCTGAGCAAGCTGAATGGACAGGTGGGGAGGAGATAGGTAACCTTTTCCTTTAATGATGGTGATCAGTCAGACCATCCTGCTCTATGCATCTGCAAGTGAAGGCAAGTGGTGCTGTAGTTTGCCTAGACAGTAGGATGGATTACACTCCAGTACCTTCTCTTCCAGAAGGGTTTTCCTGTCATTGCATGTGGAGTAGGTGGTAAGCAGCAAGCTCCTCAATAGGTAGAATAGGAATCCTGGAAGGCATTGGTAGGAAAATCTTATAAGCTGACACATTTGAATTTGTTGTTACCTTAAAATCCAAAGCTTTTCATTAAGCAGAGGAATACCTGGTCCTTCTCAGGGATAGCCACTTCTGTAAGAATCTCATCCCACCTGGAGATTCTTTGTTCCTGATGGCAAGTTTGATGCTGAGAGCATCTCTTGTCTCCTGTTGTGGTGTGAGACAGGTTGTTCTCCAATTATTGTGCTCTGGGTTCTTTTGCTTGCAGAAATGCCTCATTCTCACAGCACACCTGTGATGAGTACCAGTGCCTGCACCAAAGTGTTGTACTTCACTGACCGCTCCCTCACACCTTTCATGGTCAACATACCAAAGAGGTGAGATTTAGTTTTGCCTTGCTTTGATTTGGGAGGTACTTGTTTCCTTGAGAACATTAGTCTGATCTCTTCTGGGTATGGTCACCACTAGCACAGGTTCCCTTTAACTTAGGCACTGGATTTTTATACCACTGACTGAAAGCAGTCCCCTAGCTGATATGTTTGTTTTAGAACCCTAGGAAATTTTTTGTTTTTTAATTAACTTCAAAGAGAAGGCATCCAAACAGTTCTGTTCTGGCATATAGCACAGGACTCCTGTGCCAAAAAACACATCAATCAGTGCGAATGGGAAAGGGAGAAAGGCAGTTTCGAGGTGGTTCCTATAAAATTTGGAGGAAATTCTTCCTCTGAAGAGGACCTTGGGGTTGACAGGAGTGTTCCTGGAGGGGCACGCTCTTCACATCCCTGTGGCTTATGTTCTGAGAGCCTAGCCTGACTTGTGCTGTGACCCTGCATGCCATACAATAACACTTGAGATAAAGCCTGTCCAGGGTACTAAGGGTAGTGTTGGATTCTTTTTGCAGGCTAGGGGAAGTGACTCTGAAGGATTTTAAGGTAGCTATTGATCGTGAAGGAACCCACCGGTACCACTTCAAAGCCCTGGATCCGGAGTTTGGCACAGTCAAAGAGGAGGTAGGTGTCCAATTTCACTGTTGGCCATTGCTGGGTTCAGTGTTGTGACACAGCCCTGGAGACCTTGCTCACATCACTTCTAAACTAAAACAATCTTTGTGTCTCCAAACAGACAGCCAGGTTCCACAATTGTAGGTTAAGCTCCTTCTTCTGAGAAGCTAAAAATGAGATGTTTTTATCCTCAGCCAGAGCAATGATACAAACGTGACTGCTTGTCTGGGGTTTCCAGAGCCCTATAGGCAAAGGCTATTGGCAAAACACAGGCTACACTTCTGGCTCTTACAGTGGCTTTATGAAATCTGTTGCAACATTTATTTTAAAAACGTCCTCCTACGTCATTTTAAAGGTCTTTCAGAGGAGCTGTGTTTATCTTATCTGTGTGCATCTTTTCCTTTGTGTGCTGAATTATACCTGTTTGAGCTTAAGCTGGTGTTGGTATGGATTGGATTCATTAAAGGTTATTGAGGGTAGTTCCTGTTTCACAAATTGATGAAGACAAGTGCAGAGGGCTGCCTTCCCTTGGGAACGGTCAGCTAACTATTTAGCCATTCTGCAGAAACAGATGGGAATTGTGTTCTGATGGATAAGAGATGTGTTTCCTGTGTTTATTTCACTTTTTCTGATTAAAAAATAGTAAAGACTGTTAAGGTTGAAGAAGGAGCCAGATCTAGTTTTCAACTTAAAATCTGAAAACATTGAGATGTGTCAACGTTGGGTGAGGTGCGTGTTATGTGAGCTGTGTTGTATAATTGTAACTTGGAAACCTGAATCTCTGACTTGATGCCTGCCTCTAATGCTATTCACATGTGGGAGAGCAGTGACCAGACTTCAGATGTGACTGGACTCTTTTTTCATAGGTATTCCATGATGATGACATCATTCCTGGATGGGAGGGGAAAATTGTGGCCTGGGTGGAAGAAGACCATGGGGAGAATTAATCAAGCTTTTAGGTCTTGTCACTATGGAAACCTGTGACTGGCTGCTGAGCTCAGAGAGTGACCAAAAAGCATGTGTGCTGGAAGGAGTCCAACGCAAGCTACCAAGAGAAAGGGCTTCTCTGCAAACAGCGGGTAATGCACGTTGTGTGCATGGACGGCTGGCATGGACACCTGGCTTTCTGTGGCCAAATACAGACAGCGTTGTGGGACTGAAACAGCTATCTGTGGGAAAGAAACACCTTACTTTTTCCTGTCAACTAAACCCTAACGGCCTTAATGATGCATTTTTCCTTTCCCTTGCTTCTCAATTCCTGCTGTATGTGCTGCAGTCTGTGAGCTGGGCATCTCAACTCTGGTTTGTTGTACACAGTACTGCATAAATCTACTCTGATGGCAAAAATGTGAAGCTTTGCCTTTGTGAGTCTGAAGAAACAGCTAGATTGTGCAAGCAGAAGGTTTGACCAGCTTTGGTCTTGACCTTGCATGTGTTGCAGGAGCAGAGTGAACTTTGTGGACAGTCAGACTGAGCAGACCTGGGGAAGAAAGACAGTCTTCTGGAGGTTTTATGCATGATCTGAAGCAAAGATCACCAGCTTGGCAAAGCTCCCTTTCTGCCAAATTCAGGCTTCTGGTTCCTAGCCTTGCTTCTCCCATTTGTCCTCCAAAGATGTACTTCCGAGGCCCTCTGGATTTGTTTTGTTGCCATGGGGACTGTGGGATCTTGGTACTTAACTTTTCTGGTGAAAGTTTTCGTTTTTGGATCAGCTGCTTCCCCAAGGTACTCTTAGCCCCTCCCCCCTCCTTGTTAAACCCCTCTCTGCACTCCTGCTGCCTCCTCTGTTATCATAGCAACTGATTGTCACCTCCTGTGCACAGGCATCACTATGCTACTGTCTGCTGGTTGCTAGAGCCACCAAACATCAATACTCTTATAATAAGTCCTGTCAGTAGCACCATTTCCTTGCTATGCCTATTGCTGGGCTTTCTGGAGGAGCAAGGAATTGAACAGTTGATTGAGAGGGTCTGAGCCCTGAGATCCCTGAGGCTCTGTGGGGTTTGTTTTGCTTTTTGTTCATTCTGTTTTTCCCCTGCTTTGCCTGCCTCTGTCCTCCTGCTGCCTGTCAGCTGTACTTGCACAGCACTGGCTCTGGTCTGCAGCAGACACTGTTGATTTAAAAGTTCAAAAGGCAAGTCAAGGCTCTGCTCATTCTCAGTCCATGTGGCCCTTTCATGGGCTGCCCGCATGTCTGTACTGTGCATGAGGCTAGGAGGGGGTGAACCTGGTTTTACTGTTTTATATTAACGTGTCCTTTTGTAAATATGTTACTGTTCGGAATTATTTTGTACCAGTTTACATTGTCTGAGGACTGTGGATATTTTTATACCAGTGCAAGTGCTTTCTGTATATTTCTGCACGCATTATACGGTGTTTTACTCTCTAGTGGATGCTGAGATGTTTTGTATGGTCTTCTGTTCACACAACACTGGGTTTGACTTTATTTTACTTTGGAGATCCAACTAGTTCCTATTGGATTTTATGTTTTGCCAGCTTATACAGGCAGTAAGAACGCTATTTCTTCTTTCACTGCTTCACTGTCCAGGAAAGAGCTCAAGGATTTTACAAGGCCCTGTGCCAGTCTGGCACAAGATAGCACGCCTGCTGCACTGTATGATTTGTTGTGTGACTTTTTCTTTACAGACAGAGGCTAATATCAGTAGGAGAGCTCATCAGTGGGCAAGTTCATCGGTGGGTGCAGGGCAGGGGAACCCATCTTGCTTGGAAAAGAAGGATTTGCTTCCTCCCTGGAAATAGTTTTCTGTTGCATGATCTTTAGTGGGTTGATAAGGACAGTGTGGGGTTATTATATTGGAACCAATTGTATTTCAATTGCAGGCTTTTTTTTCTCAAGTGTTTCTTCAGTTTTTGCTCACTGATTCTATTTCAGCAAGAGCCACACATCCAGGATTTTATGGAGACAGTTTTCAAGGTCTGTAGTTGCCAGTTCCAGTGGCCAGTGCTGTTTGGTGCTGTTATCAGAGCTTCTAATGGCCACCTTGCCTTTTTCCTATGGGAAAAGACAGATGCTAACTGATACAGGAGGCGGTCGGGAGTCTCAGGCTTGTTCTTAGGGAAGTTCAGGTGACACCTTGTGGGCACACATAGCATGCTTACTGAAACTCAAATTTGGCCAAATGCTTTCCAGAGCAGCAAGGAGCTTCGTACTTGAGAAGGAGGAAGACTGAAGACTGTACCTTTAATCAGTACTGACATCACACGTAAGTTGGGACAAAACAGGTGTTACCTGAGACAGAACTGATGCACTGCTCTGTTCTCGAGCTCCTGGATGTGGCTCCCTGTGTTCGCAGAGCTGGCACTGAAGCAGAAGCCCCATTTTGCCGCGCTCCCCTCAGCAGTGCTGCACTCACAGGCTGCTTGTGTTCAGATTTGTGCCACGGCTCTGCAGCCCTCCCCAGCCGTTTACTGATGTTTGCTGATTTACAAGGAGTTTGGAAGTGGTAATAAAGGGGCAGAGGAAAGGGGGAAAGGCCTCTGTGGGCTGCTGCTCCTCGTTGGTAACAGCAGCAGCTGTTGTGCCGACATGGAAACTGCTGCAGTAACTTCAGCAGGTTTATTATACCGCATGTACAGCAGAACTTCCATTCTGTTGGCTGGAATTCGTGTTTATTTCTGCCCGTCTGCCAACTTACTCACCTACCCCTATACTTTTGAGCTGACGCAGTGACGCCATCTATGCTAAATTATATTTTTGTAGAAGCTCAGGACGTGCCGCTCGCCATTTCCTACGAGACCCGCGTTATCGCCGCAAGGACGGCGCTGCTTCCCAGCGCATGCGCACACCGCGCCGCCCCCCCCCCCCCCCATCCCCCACCCCGTCCGCGCTTTACGGCAGCGCAGCAGCGTCGTGCGAGCCGTGCGGCGCCGCGCCCGGACGGAGGAGGTCACCGAGCGGCGGCGGTGCCGCGGCGGCAGCTCCGGCTCCAGGATGTGGCGGGTGTTGTGGCGGCGCGTGGCTCCGGGGACAGCGGGGTTGGCGCGGGGCTGCCGAGCGTTCGGCGCCGCCTCCGGGATCGGTCGCGCCACGGCGGGGGGCGGCGGGGCTCCGGGCCGCGGTCTGGCACGAAGGCGCGGCGAACCGCTGCTGCCTCCCTCCTGGCCCCGCTTCGTGCCGTGCCGCCGCTGCAGCCTGCCGGCGCACCAGAAGGTGAGAACCGCCCGCCCCCGGGCCGCCTCGCCCCGCTCGGGGTCGCTTCCCAGGAGCCGCGGGCCTCGATCCCTCCCGCCGGCGCTCCCCGAGCCCCGCCGCCGCCGGCCGCGCCTCCCGCGGCTCCCTCGCTCGGCCCCGTCCCGCCCCGCCGGGCAGCCGGGCTCTCCCTGCTGTCCCGCCCTGCCCCGGCTCCCCGCTGCCGGTGCCGCTCGTGCCCTGACGCCGCCCCTCCCCCCACAGGTGGCTCTGCCGGCGCTGTCCCCCACCATGCAGATGGGCACCATCGCGCGCTGGGAGAAGAAGGAGGGCGACAAGATCAGTGAGGGGGATCTCATCGCAGAGGTACGCTGAGGGCCTTTGCTGCTGTGCTCTCGGTTCTGCCACTGCCCAGCCTCACCTGAGCACGTTTTCAAGTTCCCTCCTATGAGAGCGGTGAGGTGCTGCTGAGAGGCTCTGGATGCCCCATCCGTCCCTGGAGGTTGGATGGGGCCCTGGGCAGCCTGGTCTGTGTTAAATGTGGAGGTTGGTGGCCCTGCATGCGGCAGGGGGTTGGAGCTTTGTGATCCTTGTGGTCCCTTCTAGCCTTGTCCATTCTGTGGTTCTTCCAGGACTGGTTGCTGGATTTGGTCTTTCTGAGCAGGAGGAGCACTCGCCCTTCTGAGAGGCATCCTCTCCCCAGCTGGCGATTTGTGCTTTGTGCTCCCTCACCCTACGCTGCCGTGCTGGAGGGCTTGGAGCTCACTGGTATTTCCCTTTCCATAACGTTGTCCTGTTTGCTCTTTCAAAGGTGGAAACAGACAAAGCAACAGTTGGTTTTGAGAGTTTGGAGGAATGCTACTTGGCCAAAATTCTGGTACCAGAGGGAACAAGAGATGTTCCTATTGGGGCCATAATATGTATCACAGTAGAAAAGTATGTATTTTCCTAACCCTTTATTGAATTTTCTCTTTTGGGGCTTTGTGGGTGCCCTGTGTTAAAGGCCATGGCGATTTCATCGGACTGATTTTTTGTTTGGTTGTTTTTAGGCCTGAACATGTTGATGCCTTTAAAAATTACACTCTGGATTCTGCAGCATCTGCTCCCCCTGCAGCCTCAGTGCCTCCCCCTCCAGCTGCAGCACCCTCACCCCCACCTCCGCCTTCTCCTCAGGCTCCTGGCAGCTCTTATCCTCCTCACATGCAGGTAAGAGAGCATTGTTAACCATCTAAGGTTTGTTGCACACTTCTTTTTTTTGGCATCATTTGCTGTAGGATGTTTTATCATAAAAACTGTCAGGAACGGGAGAGCATTAGCTGTAACAGGACTGCACAGCTCTCAGAGTGGTGCATGCTTAAAGCAGCTATTTGGGGTGGTCCCAGAAAGTTTTCTTATTACTATGATATTTTTTTTTTATCCCAGCTGCTAGTAGGAGATGCTTGTTTCTCCTGGTTACTTGAGCAAACGAGAAAGAAATTGCTACATTCCTATGGTTCGGACAGCTCTGATACAAAAAAGACCTTGTACTTAGTGTGAATGAACCCTGAGGGCTCTGCTCAGATCTCAGCAGAACCCAGAAGTGTGAGATACTCCAAACATGCCAGATGTGTTTGTGAGCAGCTGAAAATGAGCTGTATTTGTGGATAATCTGTTTGCTTAGGTACTGAAGTGTGCATCCATTGTTGTTCTACCTGAGCATTTGTAGCACGGTAGTTCTGTGACGTTAATTTGAAACACAAGGTGTTCAGTACCTTCTTTCACAGCTAAGGTACGTGGAAGCTGGTTTGTCTGAGATGTTATGAAAAGTTTGTAAATGAACTGGGTTTCTTGATCTGACTTAACTCCACCTACTTAACTTGATTAATTGGTTTATTTGTCCAGTTCTGTTCTAAAGCTGTTATATGTGCTGTGTTTGTTGTACACAGTACGTGTCTAAACCTACAGCACATTTAAGCACTTGGTGGAAGACAAGTCTGTATAGCTGTTACAGGAACCAGGCAAGTTTGTCAGAGACAGAGTGACTTGCTGAAGCCTTCCTTTGAGCCTTACAGACAGCAGCTGCCTGCTAGTGAATTGGGTACCTAGATTTCTTCGTTTTTGCTTTTGCTTGTTTTCTTGCCTTGACAAAAGAAGCCAAACTTCTGTAATGGAATCAGATCTAAGAGTGTGTTAAAGGTTGGCTGCTTCTTTAGGTTGGCATCATTTAGTCAAGAGCTCTCAACTATGTCCCTGCTGCTTTTGAGTCACCAAATCTGATGCACTTGTATTCTGGCTTACAGGTTGCTCTGCCTGCTCTGTCACCCACCATGACAATGGGCACAGTGCAGAGGTGGGAAAAGAAGGTCGGGGAGAAACTGAATGAGGGAGACTTACTAGCAGAAATCGAGACAGATAAAGCCACAATAGGTGAGTCAACTCCAAAGCCAAGAACGGATGAGGGAGGATCTAGAGGAGCCTCTGTGCCAGCTGTTCCCTGGCTGCTCAGGGCATGAAAAAAGGGCAGTTAAAAAGTATCTTGTGCTGCTGGAGAGAGAACCACTGGAACTCCCAGAAGTAACTCCTTCCCCATCAATCCATGGTAGGAGTGTACAGTGCACAGAGATGTTTCCTGCCTTTTACACTGAAAAGAATTTTTTGTCTACTAAATACAGGACACAGCTTTAGTTACTTAATCTTTCAGAGTTACCATTTGGTGCGACAGGCACCAAAACAATTTTGTTTATTTTTCCTTCAGGCTTTGAAGTGCAGGAGGAAGGCTACCTGGCAAAAATATTGGTGCCTGAAGGAACGAGAGATGTGCCATTAGGAACAACCCTCTGCATCATTGTGGAGAAGGAGTCTGATATTCCTGCTTTTGCTGACTACCGAGAGACTGCAGTAACTGATATGAAGGCACAAGTTCCTCCTCCTCCTCCTCCCCCTCCTTCACCAGTAAGGACCCCTCTTAGGCAGGGAGAGAAGTTACGGGGACGATTAAGAGTGACTGGCTGGATCTGAACTGTGGTGCTGTTTAGACTTTGTGAAGCCCTGACTCCAGTAATGTTTATGATCCTGTGAGTGCAAGGCTAGCAGGTGCATTCGTGATAGAGATCACTTCTTGGGTTGGCCCTCCAAAAACTGAAACAGCAGTTATGAGTGCTTCTTGACCTATTGCTCTTACCAGTTTGATGCCTCCCTGAAAATTAGGAGCATACATTGCATTATTTCACTGTTTCGGTGTAAAATTAAATAGGTTGGT